GGGGGGGGCGGACAGAAAGGCCCGGGATCAGCGTGGAAAGCAGGCGCAATTCCCGGAGCGCCGAGTCTGCTGGATGAAAACAGGGATGGCTGGGCAGAAGGGCAGGGGAAAGATAATCGCTGCAAAGACAGGAGAAGGACTGAGAAAATTCAAGAGCGCCAGCCACAAACAGGCGGGATTCAGGCACTGCTCGCTGAACGCATTTGAAACCCAGGGCGGGCGCGCGGCGCCCCGGGACCCGCACCTGTGGCTTGGCCCCGCGCAAGGCGCAGCCCGGAGTCCGCTCTCGGCGGTCGGAGTCGAGGCTGGCGGCCTGGACCTGGGCTCCGAGACACGCTCGGGGACCCAGCTCCCCAAAGTTCTTCAAGGAGCGAACCGTGCCAGACAGGATTGAGATTGGGCAGATAAAAAGAGGTGTTCAGTAGGGGCGGAAGAAAGGGGATCTCCCCGTAGGGTTAAGGTTTTTGGAGAGCTGCGCGCTGGCTCGGGTGCACTGAGGAAGAGGGAAGAGAGCGGAAAGGGCCAAGGGACCTGTCTGCGGCTGCTGAGGGACCGCGGGCTTCTCAGGATGGAGAAGGGTGGGGTGGAGTTTTGGGAGAACGGGATTGTTGTTTGGGTAGAAAGGTCGGTGCAAACCCAGACCCCCACACCGGGCCCCAGAAACGCTGAGAGATTGGGAGACGCGCCCCCTGCGGCTGGCTGATCCTGCCGAGGACTAGTGCGCGCCGGACACTCACCCACCGCCCAGTGGTTGCCGCGCGGGTACATCTTGGCCAGCACAGTCCCTCTGCCCGCCGACACCGGGGCGGCCGACCCCCGGGGCGCCTGGCAGAGGACCAGCGCCAGCAGGACGAGCGGGAGCTCGCGGCCGCGCATGGTCCCGGCGCGAAGACCTTGGAGCGCCGCGGCGAGGCTGGGCGGACAGTGCGCTCTCCCGGCGGAGGAGCGACGGGAGGATCGGGACCTCGGAGGAGCTCCGCCGCCGCCGCCCGCGCCACTGCTGCGGCCTCTACGAGGCCCCGACTTTATATGGCAGCCCGGGCGGGGGGGCTGGGGGGCTCTTCCACCGGGGACCCGAGCGCTCTGACGTCTCCGTATAGCGAGCCAGGGCGCTGGGACAACCGTCCCCGAACATCACCCATCTTCCCGCCGAATGATGAAAAGGCTGAGTGTATATTGCCCCTCTCCCTTTCCCTCGTAGTCCCTTCCGCCTTCCCCCACATTGGATCAATTCTGCTCATCCTCGACGCCTTCGCTCCAACACAATTTAGTGAACTCCTTCCTCCTCAGCCTCACCCGGGCGCCTCCCGCTGTTATCTGCCTTCCGATCCTACAAGGGGGAGCAGTGACCCCGCAGCCTGAGCCCAGGAGCGAGGGGGGGGGGTGCGGGGGTGGAGATTGAGAGGGATGAGCACAAAGGGTGGATGCTCTTAGGCCATCTTAGAGCATCTTAGGATGCTCTTTATGCTGGAAGGGGTTGGGACTCGGATTGCAAGGGACTTCTGATTCTCAGACCTTTCCAGCTCCGTGGACCACCTCTCTCCTGGCGGTCCCAGCCCCCAGACCTCCAGATCCTTGCCTCCCACCCCGTCTCACCACCACCACCAGTAATACCTCACCCCACCTAGGTTTTCAGAGGTGCTCCTGCGCATTTGTATGGTGATATGGAGGATGGAGCACGAAGGGTATGTTATGTGAACAGAGCTAACAATAGTTTTACTACACACCCAGCTCCCTTCACAAGCATACTGCTTCCGTATAATAGATGAAGCTTTTATGCCAATTTCCCTCGGTGCATCTACTGTCCCTAAAGCTTGAACTGTCAGTAAACTATCTACACACCTCTCTAGAGTTGCCCAAATTTCCTCTGCTCTGTCTTTTCTCAGATCAGAAGAATGGTCACCTCAGCCCAACACCCGAGGTCCTCGATGCCATGGATACAAAGGGGATGAGCACCATGGCAATGCAACAATAAATAGAAGCTGGTAGGATGCTGTTGCCCACGGTTCGGCTGCCAGAGCTGGGGGTGTATTTGTGTGTTTCTGCAGGCCTGTTCCTCACCAAGTGCTGGTGAACTGTCTCACTGATGGGTCCCTGGTGTTCCATGTCAACACCAGTGTTGATACTGATGAAGCTAAAATCCTACTATTTTCTCTGAATATCTGGTGATTCAATACATTTGTGCCATTCTTAGATGATTACACATGCATATTGCATGACTGAGTATTCTTAGGCTTGGAAGAGTATTTCCATGCATGTGTCTGGCTATAAGGTAAAAAAAAAAAAAAAAGCTAATTTCAAGATCACTACTATTAGCCAAGGAAATGCAGTAATACTATCCAGAGAGAATGATGCAAGTGAAAATGAAGAGGAAAAGGTCCAAATTGGCCTGGACTCCATGCTCCTGGGTTCCCAGCCTCTCCTCATTAGAAGGCAGATGTTCCGTGGTCAGGTGATCATCCATAGGCTTACTGCCTCCCACTTGGCCATGAGCTTGCATGAACACAGCAACTTGGCCTTGTTCCTCTGTGTGCGCAGGCCTGGATCAAAGTGTTTGATGAATGAACAACTAACCTAAGAACTGCTCGTGTCTAAATGCCTTCCACAACCCTTGGTCTTTGGAGGAGCATTAAACATTTGTCTCTCCAGATTAAGTTATAGAAAAATATCCTTCACCCTTAATTTAATCAATACTATTTTAGAATCTTCAAATGAAGTTTTTCCCCCGTGAGACCAAGGGAAAACCACTGCAAATACACTAAAGTATGGGAACAGTTGTACTCCAAGTGCAACTTTCCTGCTAATTCAGGCAACCCACTGTCTCTTGTGTCTGTTGCAGGCCAGGAAGTACCTGGGTCCTTCCATTCACTTCAGCTCTTTAAGCACCCCAGCCCACAGGCATTCTGCACCCAGACTCGGGCTCGGCCATGTGACGTGCTTCGGTACCCCATAAGGGCAGCCCTGTGTCAGTCTTGCTCGGGGCTGCATCTACGGTGCCTGGCCCTGTCCTCGGCACAGAGAAGGGATTCAATAGATGTGAATGGATGCATTGTCCTGCAGGTATAGGAACCTGAGTCCACTCCCCTAACCAGAAAAAACAATGAATTGTTACCAGTTAGAGAAAGAAACCATTGCATGTTTGATTCAGCCAGCGTTGAATGAGCCCCAGTAGATCCTGGCTGGGTATCTTCTCATGTCCCTTTGGAAATCTTCATCACAGCCCTACCAGATAGAGATGATTAACCCTACTGACTTAGTTAGGTGGAAGCTAAACTACTGTGAGAGAGAGATCTCACAATGCAGTGCCACATTCAAAAGAAAGGTTTGTTTCTCTTTTTTTGTTATAGTTCGTGGCAGGTGTTCTGGGTTGGCAGGCAGCTCTACTCCACATGGATATTCAGAGACCAAGGTTCATTCCATCTCATGCCTCTACCATCCCTAGTGTGCTGATCCTCAAAGGGCTGTTCTGCAAGGAGATACGGAGCTTGCTCCAGAATGTAAATCAACGCACCACTTCCTTCATCGAGAACATCTTCCTATGGGAAAGAATGTCAGCTGAACGAAACAATGTGTTTAGTGATGTAGTTGATTTGCATTCTGGCACAAGCTCTTTATCTTGGTGTAGATGAGTAATGGTTCGAAGATGAGTAGCTGGTACATGGACCACACTTAATTAGTACTGTCCTAGTGTACAGTCCCTGTCTGCATGGCCTAGATTGTAGCCGGCAGGCAGGCGAAAGTGAGGAGGCATGCCCTCTCTCTCAATATACCAGCCTGAATGCAACACTTTTACCATTTTATTGGTAAAAACTCAATCACGTGGTCACAGGTAACTGGAAGAAAGGCTGGGAGTTGTAGCCTTGATAGTCAGGTGCCTGGCTCTGATTGCACCACTGTGGAAGAAGGAGTGAGTGGAATTTGATGGACAGCTGGGAAACTACCAGAACCATCCTAGTGTACCTCAGGCACATGGGGAATCTTACAAATTTTATAAAGTAATTATAGTTACTTAGTTTACTTATAATAAAGTAAAATGAAATCTTACAAGGCTGGTAAGGAGGGCAATCTCCTCATAGGGAGGAAAAACTGGACCTCTAGCCCAACTCCTCTAGCCCCAAAGTTCTACATCCCTTAGGGGACCTCTTGCTAAGTACCACGGCCAGCATCCCTTAGGCTCCGTGGGGTGCTGCACACCCTCTTATCACTATGGCCCGAATTAGGATAGCCTTTCATCAAATTCCCCATTCAGAAATGTTTAATCTAATCTTTCTAAATGAACTTTATCATTTAGCTACTTCTACAAAAGTGCTTTGTAACAAATAGCCACAGCATTTCAGTGGCATGCAACAATAAGATTTATTTTTCATGTGTGTGCAAGTGGGCTGGGGTGGCTCTGCTGATCGCATGTCAGTTCTGCTGACATGGCTCAGGCCAAGGTTTGGTTTAAGTCTGCTCCGAGTGTCTCTCACCCTGCTGGAACTGGTGGGCTAGCCAGAGCTTGTTCTCCTGACAGTGGCAGAGACACAACACGCAAGGTCTCTTAAGGCCTAGACTTAGAACTCACACGTTGTCATTTCTCCCTCATGCCATTGGCCAAAGCAATCAGATGGCTAATCCCAAAGTCTAGGGGTGGGGAAGCATGCATTGCACCTGAGACTGTGGTAAGACTGTGGATGCAGGAAGGGGGAAAGAATGGAGCCCATTCTTCAATCTATCACAGTGCAGAGAGAGCAGAGGGAAAATAGATACAGAGTAACATCCAGCAAATTAATCCACCAACAGGATGGTGTTTATTCATCTTTGGCTTGGCATCCCGGTGGGAGACTTCCAGGGCCACACTCTCGTTTGCTCTTCTCTCCACTCCCAGGTGGCATTTTCCAGGAAATTCCATGGCTATATCACCCAGTGGGCTCTCTACGCCACAGGCATGAAACATACATCTTTTTAGATATAAAGAATTGAGGTCAGTTTATATCTTATGACTTTTCTCTTCCACAGAGCATGTCTCTGTGATGTGATTTTAAGGATGTTTTCCCAAAAGCTTGGATGGTCTGAGCTAGTCAGGCCCATTTGTGTGCCGGGAAGAGAGACCCACTTAGCTAGCTCAAGCAAAGTGGGATTTGTTGTAAAAACAAAATGGAAACTTCAGGAAATTCGAAGATGGGAACTGTGTGGTTCACCTGGGTCTCATGGGAGCTAGGACTGGTCCCGATCCCCCAGGAGCCTCTCCCCGTGAAGTATCTTCCCCTCTCCTCATATGTTCCATTCTTTGCTCTCTGAACTGACTTCCTTGCCCATCCCTGTGTTGTCTCCATCCCCACACAACTTCAGCTGGCTTATATAGCCACTGTACACCCCCCCCCCAGCACCTCTATAAGGGGACAGCTTCCCACATGGCTTGCTGTCTTCTGCCTCTACTGGAAACCACCTCCATCTCTCAGTTTCCTACTACCTGATTTCCAAGCAAGAAACTTGATTGACCTAGCTCATTATTTTGACCCAGCCACACAGATTATAGATTTCCCACAGCTTATAGAGGAGTAAGTCCAGAATGTCCCATCAACTCTTGTCAGGGGCTAGGAACATATGGTGATGGATGTGGCAGTGTCCATTCCACAGGGCACTGGGCAGGGCAGTGTTCCCTGAAAAGAAGGAGTGGGCAGGTCCCAAGTGTCCCATACACAATGGCCCTTCTCCCCAGATCCTCAGGCACACATTGTCTTCTCCTGTATCCTGTGATTTGTGCTGTTTCCTTGTAGCTCAGTGACTCCCAGACATTTCATCACTAAGGGCATTATTATTTCCTCCCATGGAGTTCAGATTTTGACCAGCTTTTTACAGTGAAACAGGCCATACTGTTTAGATTTCCCATTTTCATCATCAAAGACAAGGAACTGTCCA